AAGGTGAAACCCTAAAACTAATGTTGCTGGGTCTTAGAGTGACCGAGTGATCTTTGGATGTTGCTGAGGTCCCTTCCTTCTGGAATCCCTATGAATGGTGACTTTGTGGAATTTTAGGCCCTGCCAACTCACAGAGTGGCTGCTTCTCCATAGCTCACCAGCACATGCATTGTCAGGGTTCTGGTTTGTCGCCTGTGAAATAGCAGAAAAATGGTTCTACTGCAGTTTTTACTCTCATGAATAAGGTTGGACTGTAGAATCTTCTTTAGTACTTGAGAACTTCAATTAGGTTGAATTCTCAAACAAAACAATGTGGTCTAATTCTCTAATAGTAGAGAAGATTTGGATATGGGACTGATGGTTATTCATTTTAATCCCCACACCCCTGTTTTTACTTTGCCAGTTAATTGCTTGAGATAAAGAAAATACACATGTTGTAAATATCTGCACATATGGAGGTATTTGTTATAGTGCATTCTCTTTACATGAGAATAAGATATTTCACGGATGTCTTTGTGTTAGCGTTCTCTGTTAGGAGATATACTTAAGTCTAAGTGACAGAGATCTTCTTGAGCCACTTTGAAAACTCTTTTCTTCAGTTTAATAAGAAACAAAACCAATTTAATTTAAAAATTAATAAAGCAGTCTCCATTATTCCAGAAACTATCATGAAGATCTTCCTCGATCTTCATGATTTTCACACTCTGATCAGCACCATGTGGGGCCTCATTGTGTCCTTTTGCTCACTGTCGCATGTCTTCAGAACTGCTTGAAACCACAGTCTGTCCTTTGATGGACAGTGTTTCCCTTTGACTGCTGTATCGGAGACGCTGATGCTTCTGGTTTTCAGTCTGCTAGAGCTTTCATACCTGCGTCATGTCTTGGCGTTTTTACCTTGTCTCTGCCTTTTGTCCTCTCCTTTCCTCATCTGATGAGTCCAACTTGAATCAGGGTTTTTCCAAGAGGGACAGATAGCAAGAAAGTAATTGTACCATGCTTCATTTTGAAGATCATTGTTTCATGTCAGTACAATGTCAAAATGAATCTTTCAATTGTGTAGTAAAAAGGTTTAAGATCATGTACTACTCAGATCTGAAAAGCAATCCTGCCTTCGGTTTTCTGTGTCAGAGTGGGAAAATTATTTATTAGCATTAACAAGAAAAGATAGAGTGGATAAGGTAAGAGGTTTCTGAGAAAAAGGTGAGTCCTGGGCACGTTTTTGAAAGAAGTAGCAAATGTAGATTGAAAAATGATAGTTTCTGGAATAATGGAGATTGCTTTATTAATTGTTAAATTAAATTGGTTTTGTTTCTTATTAAACTGAGGAAAAGGGTTTTCAGAGTGGCTCAAGTGATAAAAGCACCTGCCTAGCAAGTGTGAGGCGCTGAGTTCAAACCTCAGTACCACCAAAAATAAAAAGAAAGAAAAAGAAAAAAACAGGGAATGAAACAAAGGATATTTGGTGTTCCGTGACTTAAAAGATTTAGAAACAGAAATTTGAGAAATAGGGATATTGCCTGTCTTTAAAGTCAAAGCTCAAGATTTGGTGAGCAGGTCCCTAGAAAATGTTGCCTGCTGAATCCATGGGAGGCAAATGGCCACTCTGAAACAAAGCTAAGAAAGCCTATGTATTCTTGCAGAAATATTTAACGATTTTTCAGATTTCATACAGTACATTTATTTTTGGTTATACAACAAGCACTCAAATGCTAACATACTAAACCCTCCCAACAGTTCTAAATGTTTTCATGTTTTAACGAGAGGCTAGCTTAAATGCATTTGCTGAATGCTTCTGCTTTTCCAGTTGTTCATTTAGCAAAGATACTGTAGGCCATAAACTTGTTTAGTTTAATATGAAGCTTCTCTTTGCCCGGGGAACTCTGGGTACTCTACCAAACATGGAGCTTTTAGTCTCAGACTGTGCATGAAAATTCTGTACTGGTCAGTGAATTGACGAATTTATGCTGCAAAGATTTAAGCATTTTAATAATTGACATTCCGTAGGCAGATATTGTATATTACATGTTTATGATGTAAAGACCTAGATGGAAATAAAAGTAAGTTTCTTTCATGTCTTATGAAAGAATGCGTATGCATTTCGTTACTTCATTTTGCAGAGCAATTACTGTGGAACTTTTGACATGTGGGTTTGAAAGAGATTTTAGAATGATGATTGTCCTTAAGCAACATTGGTGTAGCTTTTTTTGGCAGGGGGGGCAGTCATAGGGATTGATATCAGGTCCTTAGCTCTACCACTTGAGCTTTTAGCTTATTTTTCAAACAGTCTCTGGCTTGTAGTCCTCCTGCCTCCCTCCCAGGTACCTGAGATTATAAACATGTACCACCATGCCTGCCTTGTTTTTGAGATAGGGTCTTTGGGGAGTGATGCCTAGGGCTGGCCTCCAACCTCCATCCTCCTATCTCTGCTTCCCAAGTAGCTGGGATTACTAGCTGGGATTATTGGACCTGCACCATCACACCCAGACCCATTTCTTCTTTATATGAAACTTTGTTGTTTTTATGCCTAGTACAAATGTGGGGAGGTGAGATAAAGCCATTTGACATCTGTAATGAAGGTACTTTTACCTGTTCCAAGTATTTCTACCTTTATTATAAGATTGTTTTTTCCTGTTGCATTTCTCTTATTTAATGGCCTGGTTTTTGTTACTTTATTTATTTTGAGATGGGATCATCCACGTTGCCCAGTCTAACCTCAAATTCACCATCCTCCTGCCTCAGCCTCCTGAGTAGTGGGGATTACAGGCATGATCCACCATGCCCAGCTTGAGGGTCTCTGAATTGCTTGAAATAATTGTGCAGGTTTTGTTCTTGTTTTTGCCTTTACCTTGTGATTCTCTCAATAACAAGAAGAATTATACTGTTATCTCTGTGGTGTATTCAATACACGTGAGGGCAGATAATTCTCTGAAACTACTCAGGTAGACCTGAGACTTTAATGAAATAGACAGCTTACTGAGTCAGCCTACTTATTGTACTGTCTTGTACTTCCTGCTCAGCAAACTGAGGTCGCCCATAAACTGTTTGTAACCCACCTAAAGGAACTGTAGAAGAAAAGAGAGTTTACCCTTGCATTTCACCTTTGTGGAGTCAGTGGATAAATTGTGACTATTGGACATATTTGGGCAGTTTTTGGAGAATCATGCTCTATCTGCATTTTGTCAGTGCTGTTTGGAAGATGTAGGGAAAAGTCTTAGCATAGATTCTCTTTTTCAGTGTCCCGTCTGCAGCGTTACCCTTAGCAGACACTTACACATATTTGTTCATTAAGGAGACATGGGTTCTGTTTCTGCCCTGCTACTAAACGGATGGTTCCCGTCCTTTTAGAGCTTCCTTGTTTTGGATTTTATTAAGACAAGTTAGAGGGCCAAAATGTACTGTACATTAGCACTGGGAAGAGCAGAAAACAGCTGATGATGGCCTAGTGTGCCACCTGAAGTCAGAGGACCAGAGAGACCCGATGTGCTCCACCTTGAGATGAAGTGACCAGATTGGGTAATGTGTGTCTGGTTCAATTAGGTGTCAAACCAAACACACTTTGCCATATTGGTCCTGTCATCCAGGATTATGACCTGAAAAGGTATAGAGATTGCCCATTGGCGGAGTCGTTTCATTTTCTGTCATACATAGCCCAACATAGCCTAAACCAATGAGGGAGTAGTTAGTTTTATGGATGCTTTAGAGCCATTTTGAGAGTGATTTTTTTTAAATTGGTATTCTTCCTGCAATTAAATATAGAACATTGAATTTTGACACATACCCTCTCTCCTTCCCACCTGCTATGTCACTTACTTCCCACCTACTCTTCCCAACACTTTTCATCAAGCTTTGATTTTCCTTTCTTCTCCCATTTATCAAGCTGCATAATCCTATAGAACCATAGATAAGAATGGCTCTATAGGTTGGGATGACCTGTGGAAAACATGTCAGTGGTCATGTATGCTGGGTAGGTGTCTGTGTGCAGAGAAGCTACATCAGACTGTTTAACACTGGTCCATGCACCATTCTCTAAGAAGAGGAGCTGCCAACCTAGGGGACTCTTTTTTTCTTCTTGTGTTACAGTGACACTAGATAAGTATTGCTGTTCCTTATGTTCGGGAGTCTATTCATTTCTAGTTCCTCCAAAAAAAGAAAAGTGAAGTACTGAAACACCAGTACCCTTGTACCCTAACCCTTCTAGACGAACTCTTATTGGAGTTTCAGAGAAAGATATTTACAGTTTCTTAACTCAAATGTAGAGACTGGAATGCTAGAGGAGGCCTTCCTGTACAGACCCCTCATGGGTCTGTGATCTGGCCATTCTTTGTACACTGACAAGCAATCTTTTGCCTCTTTGGATTTTTCTCAGTTCCTACTTCCTGGCTTTGTGTGTCCAGAAATTCTCAGGTTAACCTACCATAGCCATTTGATTTTCTCTACACATCTTGTGTGTCTGTTAGGGTATCCCGACTCTTTCACATCCTGCTTTTATTGTTGGATGAAATACTACTATTCTTCTATATGTTTTTTTTTAATGAAAAAAAAAAACTTTTTTGAAAGGTTTTATTTTTTAGAGCAGGTTTAGGGTCACAGCAGAATTAAGAGAAAGTACAGAAAATTCCCGTATATTCCCTGCCTGGGCATTTGCTAAGTGTCCCCCTTACCAACATCTCTTATCAGAGTGGTACATCTGTTGTAATTATAATTCTTTTTAATCATCCTTTGGAGAAGGCACACTGAGTGGAGAACAGCTACGAGCTTATCATTGAAATTTTGAGCAGCGCTGTCTAATGTCTCCATTTGTCTTGTCGTTGTAAAATGCGTTAGGGCATTTCAGCCAGAAACTGACACACAAAATGAGCTAGCAGGCAAATTTCTACATACAATTCTGGTTTAAAGAACCCAAAAGAGGAATGGCAATGGTCTAGTAACTTTCATTACAAAAGAATAAAAAGAAGTATCCTTTGTAAATGTTGATGTTAGTCTTTTATTTTTCTTTTCAGTTGCTCTAGGTCGTAACCAGCCTTTGAAAAAGGAGAAACCAAAATGGAAAAGTGATTATCCTATGACAGATGGACAACTGCGCAGCAAGAGGGATGAATTTTGGGACACTGCCCCGGCTTTTGAAGGCCGTAAAGAGATCTGGGATGCCTTGAAGGCTGCTGCACATGCCTTTGAGAGCAATGACCATGAACTGGCACAGGCGATCATTGATGGTGCAAACATCACGCTACCGCACGGTAGGTTTGGTGCCTAGAAGCTCAGATGAGCATCATCATCCACTTCTGCTAGCAGGAAGATGAGACGCTTTTCTTTCTTGCTATGCATTATTCTTGCCTTTTTTTTTTTTCATGGAGCAACGAACAGCTTTCTTCTTTCTTTGTCTTTCAGCTGGAGACACAGTTTATTTTATGTTTTCTATCACTTTACTATTTGTTAATCTCAGTAAAGAGATCATTTGATAAACTATACTTTGTAGTGCCCATGTAAGCCAGTTCTCTGTAGAGACCTCTTATCTCCTCCCCTTCCACCTCCAGGCCCCATCCCTCGACTTTTCTGCAGACACTTATGATTTCATAGCTTGAGAAAGTCTTGATGTATTTCGTGTGAGATGTAGAGACGCAGCAGATTCCCCTTGCTGAGAATAAACACTTTATTCTATACCGAGATTCAGGTGTTAATTTTGTGTTCATAGTCTTTATTCTTTTGATTTCTGTGTTAGGACATTTATTTTTCTCTTTTTTTTTCATATCAGTATTTTTCTAAGTTGTCCCTTCAGACCTTTCGAATACATAAAACCACTTAAATTCCTTGCCTTGTTTTGTATTTGTTATTTGCTGTTGTTTTTTCCCCATCGTCTCCTTTGTTTACTTCTCAGAGGAATAGTGTTTTCATTGTTTAATCATCTGCTCTATGCCCTTTCACACTGTGTCAAATAAAAGATGTGTAATTTACTATCTTTGCCAGCTTTCCAAATCTCTGTTAAATTTCTAATTCATTGTGCTTCCAAGAAACATTCCTTTTTTAATAGCTGCCTGTTCTTCATTATGAAAGCTTATTAGCATGGGCTTGTGTTAACTTTTACTGACACCGCTGGTCGCCTTTTCTACATGTATATTTGAAGTACTTAGGACAGCTGCTGTCTATGTTGCTTTGTAGTCCCAGTCCTCTAAATGCTTTCCCTCTGATGTAACTGGGGGTTAGGAGGTGGTGAACATCTCACTCTACCTACCTTCTCAGTTCTGTAATTACTGTCTTCAACTACTCCCTTTGTATAAGCCAAGTTCTGCTGTACAGAGTTTTATCACCCTTCTGTATGTGATGCTTATATCTGGTATTTTCCAAGCAGAATGCTGTGTAGCCTGCAAATGGGTGGAAGAAGAGTCATAATTGTCTTAATTTAGAGACTTGAGATCCAGAAGCTTGGAACTTTGAATTCTATACTGTGCACTTAGCATAGTTGCCTATAGAACTGTCTGGTGTGTTCTACACATTGTGGCCTTGTCTAAAAGTTGGAGGTGAAGTTGCTAGGTTTATGTAGACAGGGCTCATGCACAGCTACTGGACATGGGCTCAGGTCTCTGAAGCCTCAGGTTCCTCATTGCTATTGATAGCCCTGTCAACAAACAGATGAGGGGGGAATGAACAGTTCTTGGATATTTGAGAATGTTGCATGAGTTCTGTTTAAGGATGTTTTCTGTGTAAGGAATGTTTTCTGTGTAAGCATAAAAGAATCAAACTGATAGGTGAGCTTTCCTCTTTCAAAGCTCTGAAATAAACAGTAATTGTAATAAATAATACATTAATATTGTCATTAATATACCTTTGATAAAATTCCTGTTTATATCTGAAGCTTGTCAACATTTCTTTCTTGGGCCTTTTAATTATATTCATATATTTGTAGCTATCAGTTTAAAAATATATATAGTTTATGCTTTCATCTAGTCCTGCTTGGTGGTACTGCTGAAATTCATCTTTTTCATGTAATTACACATTTCAAATTTTACTTTGGGCATATCATATACTTCTTATTTTAAGTTTAAATTATCAAATAGACTTTGAGTATTATATAGCTTAGGTTTTGATACAGATCTAGTCTCACTTGTGCCTCTACTGTATTTACTTAAGCTGTGTGACTTTGGTCAAGTCACTTATTTTCTGTGAGCTCCAGTTTGTTCATCTGTGATAAATGGACAATGACCACCCATCTCATGGGTTATTGCATTAATTTAATGTGATGATACCTGTAGATTATCTACCATGGTGTCTGGTGTACAAATAGCAGTTAATAAGGAGTGGTACGTGATGAGTTTTCTGGACTGTTACATTAAGAAGTAAATTCCTGGCCAAGAGAAGTGGCTGGCTCGTGCCTGTAATCCCAGGTACTTAGGAGGCAGAAATCAGGAGGATCATTGTTCCAAGGAAGATCGAGGGTGGAAGGGGTGAGTTAGCAAATCCCAGTCTTAACCAATAAGGTGGGAGTGGTAGTACTTGTCTGTCATACCAGCTACCAGGGAGACATCAGGATCCAGGCTGGCCTGGGCAAAACACTAGACCCTAACTGAAATATAACCAAAGTAAAAGAGAGCTGGGGGTATGGCTCAGATGGTAGAGCACTTGCCTAGCAAGTGTGAGGCCCTGAGTTCAAACTCTAGTACTGTCAAAAAAGAAAGAAGGAGACAAAGAGAGGGAGGGAGAGAAGGAGGGGGAGAGAGAGAAAGAAAATTTCCTGCAGCAAAATCTTGAATTACAGATTTTGATCTTTTTCTGGATGTATTGTCTGCTGGTGAAATCGTTCTTTGGATTTTAGGGGACTCTGCCCTTAGACATATCCTGGACGGAATTTTGAGACTGGATTGGTTCAGTAACAAAAGTACTAGTATACCAAAATAGTAAGGACATGGGTTGACCTCACTCCATAGCTGATTCATCCCTGTTCCTTTACCGGTATTGTCAGAACACCAAGATCATAAATTGGCAATCTGGAAAGACACGCTAAGAACTTTCTAAGCTTTGTTCAATCTGATCTCTCTTCTTGTTTTCATCTTTTCACCTTCCTTCTCTTTGCATAGATTGTTTACTGTCTCAGCTCTATTCATACTATCTTCCCAACAGAAGTATCTTGAAAATATGAAAATGTGTTTGTTAATGCTGTTTATATGTGGGGTTTTTTTGTTTGTTTGTTTGTTTGTTTAAGACAGGGTCTCCGTAGCACAGGCCAGCCTCAAACTTGCCATTCTTCTGCTTCCCCCTCCTGAGGGCTAGGATTACAGGTGTGTACCACTGTGCTCAGCTTGCAGATCTTTTCATGTTATCTGGTTGTCTGGTTTTTTTTAGGTTTCATACTCATGGGCTGGCAGAGTGGCTCAAGTGGTAGCATGCCTGCCTGGCAAGCCTGAGGCCCTGAGTTCAAATCCCAGTGCCACCAAAAATAAATAGATTTCTTAGTCATAATAAGCAAGGATTGTGCATATCTTGGTTTAAGCTATACTTGGAACATATCAGTGTTCTGTGATGGCCTTTTTCCTTTGTGATGTTTAGTTACCTTGTTTTCAAGGAAGCAACAAAAATGCCTTTTCCAAACCACATTTCTCTTTTATTTTCTTATCTTCTGTTAACACCAATAGTAAGTCTCTAATTTGTTATTCTTAGGTGACAGTGGGAAGAATCAGAAAACTGGGGTAACATGGTAACGTCCTGGGGTTTTGTGCACACATACACTCGAGTATTATGACTCAGATTGCAGATGGCGTAGAACTAGTATTGCGGGAACAGCTAGCTGTCTGCATGGTTCTGGTATCTGACACCCTTGTCTTAGAAGAGCTTTTTTTAAAACTCATTGTCTTAAATTTCTTTACAAGCTTGTTTCTTTTTTCTCACTGATTGCTATTTTGCCATTACCGAGAAATCCTACATTCTCAATGTAGTATTTTACTAGTGAAACCAGGTTATAGATTGAGTGATTTGCCCAAATTATCATAAACAGGGTAAAAAAAATACAATAAATGATATTATTTTCATTTTTTGCGGTTTGGTGCATGGTGACTATTCAGTAAGTTTCAACTAAAGATTATTCAGAAACATTGTTTATCATATGAACACTAATTTTTTTGTAATGTCACATGGAAGATGTTAAAGGGTTTAAAAGTTGCACTCCTGCGTTCTGATTTTCTGGGATGCTGTGGTTGCTTTATATCTGCTGTTAACTTGGACTGCCGGTATTTTACCCACGTTCCTGTCCCTGAAGTTCAAACGTGAATGCTCCCCTCTTCACCTTCCTGAGGTTGACAGAAGTGTTCACTGTTACTGGAGTTCTTTTGGAAACAGAAATGTAAAACTGTTCACTGCAGCAGTGAGTGTTGCTTGTTCTTCACTTTGGAGTTTGAAAGCTTTTTTTTTTTTTTTGTTTTTTTTCATGCTTAAGAATATGGGAGGTAAAAAAAGGTAATTCCTCTTTTTTTTTTTTTTTTTTTTTTTTTTTTTTTTTTTTTGGTGGTACTGGGGTTTGAACTCAAGGGCTTTGTGCTTGCTATACAGATGCTCTACCACTTGAGCCAAGTCCCCAGCCCTAGAAAAAAGGTAATTCTTGAAGACTTAGTTAGTTTTTTATTTCCTTCTTTTTATAGAGTTTGTTACATGGTTGGAAAAGGAGAATTTTTGTCCTTTTTTAAATCTTCTTAAATTTCAGACTATAATAAATATGGGTAAATTGAACTATTTTATAATGCAATTTAAGGTTTGTTTGTTAACTAAGGCACTTATAAAAAGCATTTTTTGTATAGGGAGCCAACACATGAACAAAAGAATACAGAATTTACCAAGAATGATAAAGTACTAGTAACTCATTTTTAAAATTAGTATCACTTCATTCTCATGCCTAAGAAAATCAGGTACAACCCCCATTTTACAGATGAGAAAAGTGAGACAGAGAGGTGGTGTCCTTTCCAAGGTGGAAACCATGGGAGTGAGATTTGAACTCAGATCTAAGGGTAATGAAAGCAGCTCCGTGCATCCGTAGTGTGCCACTACTATCTTTTCTGTAAAGTGATTGCTCATGTCACCTGCAATGCTCATTCCGTGTCTAAGAGAATCCTTCCAAATGGTGCACATCTACTGATACTAAAGGGGAACAAGCAGACCCTGAGGCATCAATGGCAGGAGATGCGTCTGTGTATGTGTGCAGGCCTTTCTGTTTCCCTCAGCTGTGTCTGAGGCCCATTAAGAAGCAGACCAAGGCTGG